GCAGCACCTAGACTTATCCTTATCAGAAAGGAAGAGACAGATAGAGGCTAACTTCTCATATTACTATGACATCAGACGATTTATTTTAAGCCCACTTCATGGAAAATAGCATTACCTCAAAAGTTTTGAGAGGGAAAATACTTGTCATGTTAGAAGTAAATAGAACTTAGTAATGCACTAGTAATCAAGAACAAGCTAGGTACTCTTAGTTTTTTTAGTACTACATGCTCAGGCATATTTGCAGAAAAGCTAAGCATTAGATTAGATCACTAGCACCATGAAACACTACTGTATTTCACTGTTCATTAAGATTATAAATAAAAAAATCAGAACTGCACAAATTATTTGTGAATATACATGCTGCTAAGGAAGTGATTTTTGTCACTTTGCATTATCTGTCATTTCTTGAAGGCCAAAAAGCTTTAGTGATTACTGTGATACTAAATCTGCTGATAGAACTAGTCAAACCTGAATGAAAGTCATATTCTTCAGGGCCATTCTCAAGGCTTTTTTACTACTAAAACCAAAAAAAGAGGAAGAAGAACATGGTGTCGATCCTCTAAGCGTATGAAATTCACTATTTGTAATCTTAACAGTGTATATGGAGACTATGATGCTTGCTAAAGCTAGATTCAGGTCTGTTTGCTACCTCTAAGTCAGTGGTTATTCAATAGCCAAGAAATCTAAACTATCTGCCTTGATTACACAAGAACACCAACACCAGTACTTTGCCACTGCTTTGTTATTTTTTTGACACTGCTATCTTGCTGAGTTCTGTGCCTAGGGAAAAATTTAAACGGTGCCATTCATCAGCAAATGAAGCACTACATCCCAAAATCTTATCTCTAGTGGCACACCTGACATATAGCAAAGTTGCTTTTCTGTAGTTTAAAGGCCAGTGTGTAGATAACCTTAGTCGAAGAACTGCAAGTTAATCACATAGTTGGGCAACTGACATCATCCATAAATTCTTCTGATATAATGGCACCAGCATGATAATTTATGTGATGTCCATTTGCTTATCATGGATTGGAAACTGTTTCACATAAAACAAAATTCTAATGTATTATATGGAATTATAGCCTATGCTAATTGCTTTTGGCATATTTCCCTATGTACCCATTTTGTAAGCTCTTGGAGACATTAAATGCAGTTTTAAGAATGTTCCAAAACAAGGTATTTTCCCTTAAAGTGAAACACACTACCTTCACTGAGAAGCAATGGAACTTACTTTAATGCATGTTTTTATACATGCAATCACCCAGCTGATTCATATTCAGAAAAAATACAGTATGCATATTTATTTAAACACAAATAGATGCTATAGATGATGACTTATTACAAAAATCTGCATACCAAAATTTTCTAAAATATTTAAGAACAGGTTTCCTTGCTTGGTTTAGAACTTCCTGAATCTTGTAGGAAAAAGGGAATTCAGGACTAAAGAACCCATTTCACTATTATACTGAGGCTAAACTGTATAAACGTCAAGAAAAATCTGAATTTGTGCTTATGTAAACAGAGTTCAAATTCATTCTTTTGCCCCCTATGAAGTGATTATTCTAATCACTTCTCAACTGAACTACTAGGGACTTTACTGGGGACACCAGCAGACATCACACCTATTGGTTTTGTAGCAGTGGGAATGCTGGAGGAAAACCTACACATTCCTCAGGCAATCTGGGAGCTAAAGCTGACAGTTATGTTCAGTTCATAGAAAAATAGTGTCTTAAGTTAGGGTAAACAGTCTGTTAAGTGAGTGGAAATTCACACATAATATGACTATTATTATTTAATCATATTTTAGGTCAAATTCTGTTAAATCAATTTCTGTTAAACTTAATTACATCCCTCTATGGTTTTAAATTGGGGCAGCTTCTATTAAGTTTACTTTCTCCTGGGGTTTTCACAGTAAAGACAAATGATAAAGGTCTGGCTACAAAATGAGGGCACCTATTAAATAAGGACGCCTTGTATTAAAGCTGAATGGTAAAGATGTGGTTACTGGTTGAGGAAATCCCTTAGTAAGGGAAGTATCTTTTACTTAAAAAATATATAGGGCAAAGGAGAAAAGAGAAGGAAACAAACTTTGATCAATAACTCTTGTAAGATACTCTTACAAGAAACTCGTAGAATGTCCAAAATTCCATGACAATCTCCTCTGAAATTTCTCTTAGAAACAAGAGAGTGGTAATTTGATGCAGGCTCCTCCTTAAAGAAGGAGGAGAAAATTAATCACAACTTCTGATTCTGGAAACCAAGAGGTAAAAATGTATCTCAGAAGGACTTGCAATGTAATTTCAAGTAATTGTTGATAAATTAAATTCTATCACCATTAATCTAGGCAATAAGTCTGAGAACTATGCATTGCAGTTCAGTTTAGAATTACATTACCATTTCAGAAAGAATACAGTTTAAATAGGCTGGGGGGGAGGAGGAATGTTATATCACTCTGAACTTAAAATCATTGTTTTACTGTGGTTCTATTTCTCTATGTGAACAAACTTGGCTCTTCACTAGCACTGACTCCACTAGCGCATATAATCTGACAAATACATCAGATAAATCAGTTCTTGAGATAACACAAATAAGAAAACATGCATTGTTTCGTGCATCATGTTGTGTTGTTTGTAGTGTTCTGTAGATGTGAAACACTCAAATCCAGACTGATCTGAGTGCACAAGTATGTTAGTGGCACTATCTGCCAACATATAGATTTCCATTATGCTGATGCTGGAATAAAATCCAGATATTTCATGAGTGTACTCCTTCAACTCCAGACAATTCCTGTTTTGTTTTTTTTTTTTTCACAATGAACAGTTGCCATAATTCTGCATATGCAAAAATGTTTTTTGAATTGAGAATTCCACATTCTATAAGAATTCCACATTTGATGTGATGGCTCTTGAAAACATGCAAAGAATCTCTCCTCTACCTTGTTCAGTGTTCCTCATAAGAAACATAGTGGGCCACCTTGGGGCCAAAGTAGTTGGCAGCAACTTAGTGCAGTGACAGGAAAAATCTGTTTGGCTGAGGGCCTACACCTGATCTTCACTAAACATCTGTTAGATTTCATAAGAAGAATGTTGAAGATAATACATATATTAGTTTTCAAATGTAGCCCAGTAAAGAGATTACTACAGTGATTCTTGATTGCACTTGAGCATTGACACATTTTTAAAATGGAAGCAAAAATTAATTTTTAACTTCTTTAAATACAAAAGATATATTTTGTAACCTGAAAGATATATATTTCTGTGAAATCCAGAAGAGAACCCAAATTAGCAGAATATCAGTATATCAGCTGCCAGATAAGAGCTCCAACAGACCAATTTTGACATATTTTTAGTATACCTAAAGTCATACTTCTAACCTTACCTTTAAAAAAAAAAAAAAAGCACAAAAAAAAAAGTATTTCTGATTAAAACAGTTACTCCATTCTTTTCCTGACTACATGGCCCAGCAAAAAAAATAAGGCCATTAATAGGGAGCATACAGGCCAGACTTTATCATTCCACCTCACAGACTACAAGAAGGATATGATGTGACTAAAAACAGGAGGAATAAACAAATTGAGGTATTCGTTCATGGTGCATAAAGTAGCAAAGGAAGGAGTAGCCCAAGCTAGAAACCATCATCAGGTCCAACTCCAACCATGCAGAAATCATTATAATAATTGGCAGAGAAAAGCATAATTACATACACAAGCCCCATTCCATCCTGGTCTTGAGTGTCTGTCCCACCATTGCTGGAAACTCTAATTGCAGTGGACAGTCAGGGAGCCCTTTCAACACCAGGAAATCCTCCGCACAACACACACTACATAAATAATCTTCCTCCACCCACTGCAGGAAGAGTCAGTCTTTCTACTATTAAATTTAAAGGCAGGACACCTGGTGTTAATTTCCTAACTGGTTTTCACCCAGGGTTGGCCAGGCCTTGAGAGAAAACCAAGAGGAAGGTCTCTCCTGCTTGGTTGTGGCCATCATCCACACATCAGCCTTGATTCAGAGCTTAGCGTTTAGGCCCCAGCACTTCATCTATATATACGTTTTATGGTTTTTAATGACCTGAAGCAAATACTAGGGAATCTGATGAACATGTCCAAGTACTATAAGACAAATATTTTTGTAGACCTCCTGCCATGATTTAAATGCTCTGTCCCAGCCAAAACCAAGACACCTCCAAAGTTATATGTATCCAGCACAGATCTTTGGTGCATGTGGGGAAATAAATAAAATACAAAGCTCAAATCAGTCTATGTTCCGTACAGCAGAAATACCACTTGCTGTCTTGTTATCTGAAGAAATAGCCATGGATAAGGACAACAAATGTGCTAGAAAGAAAAAATTGCCTCTATTTTAGAGAGCTTTCAACTTAAGTACAGGGAAAGACGTGCAGTGGATAGGAGAGAGAGAGTCAGAACATATAGCAACAGCAGTTCTAGCCAGAAATCTAATAGATGAATTAATCTCTTCTGTAACTATGTAAAGAATCCACTTTACTATATCCACACCAATGTCTTTCATAATTAGTATTCATAGTATAGCTCATACATGTAAATTAGATCCAAATCTGCACTTTCATTCATTGTCACTAATCAATTTTGAAAAAAAAAAAAAAAACAATGAAAAGACTTTTGTTAGCTTGTTCATAGTGGAAAAAAGAAATTCTAATTCAACAAAACATATTTAGGACATACTAATCTATGAGTTCGAAGCATAGGTGAAAAGCCAAATTCAGTTTTATTAAACTGGTATAAAACCAGATTATGTCTAATTACTTAAAAAAAATATGTTCTGAATTCTTAATAGTGTAAAAGAGAACAGAACGTGGCACACCATGCTCAGACTTAGGATAAAAAGAATGAAGACATATACATATATAAATTTGATAATAGAGGGGATTTTAAACTCAAATAAATAGTTTAATTAGTGCCATAAACTTAGAAATAAAAGAAGAGGAAATGAATGCTTTATCACAAGGATTTTTTTCTTTACCTGACAATCTCATTATTCACAGAAAGGGCTTCCAGGTATTTCTTCAGTGCATAATAATTATGGATATATTTACGAACATAATAGCCTCGCCATCTTCTCTGAATCTAGAGGAAATAAATATTTACTTAGTATATTTCAAATCAAAAGTTTGTATGCATATCAAGTATACGTTATATTTCCCAAATAACACGGTTTCTCAAAAAGTGATATCAAGTAGAATCATCAATGTGTTTTAGTGAACAAGATGAAGAAAGGACATAACATATTGTAGTTAAACAATGATATTAACTTACTATTAAATGCCAACATTGAAAAATTAGTATCAAGTTTTAAACCACTGCTCATAATGGACTGTGAAAATGAAAAGATGTGTTTGTTACTGCCAGTGGCATTGGTCTGTGTAAGAACAGTGAAAAAGCAGACAACAGAAGTTATGTCTTTTCTCATGTACAATATTCATTCCCTGTGGAGTCACCATCTCACCAATATCTTCTGCTGTACTCTCACCTTTGTGCTCTGGATATAATCTAAACTGAATAGAAGCTTTCCCAGTAACTCAGTGAATCAGGCTTTCTGGAAACATCGTTTACAAATTGCAGTTCTTTAATCTCCAGTGTAAGATGATGAACATCTATTTGTTGCACATTAATTATAATCTTATCACAAAACACTATGCCTCCTGTATAACAGATAAAGCTTAAACTGGAAAAGAAAACTTCTATCGGGTACGTAGACCTGAAGTTGTTTTAAGAACAGAAATTAGGTAGCATCTTCCTCCAGAAAGGATTCATATTTTCGTGTATTTTTAAAAGCATCAGTTGAAAAAAAATAAAAGAGAGGACACAAACAAACAAAATAAATACTTGGTCTAGCCTGACTTTACTCAAGATTTATTTCAACAAAACAATTGAAACCTCTTTGATACTTAAAAATTCTAATCATTATGTTTCTGAAATGATTACAGGTTTACTGGCTATCTGTTTTGTGAGAAGGGTAAGCAAGTATTAATCAGGAAAAAAATTATCAATACTGCCTTTTGGCTAAGCCATATTTATCCTTAAGCCATGACATGTACAGATGCAAGACAAAACTGGCTCTATTCAGTCATGCAGAAAGCTGCCCTCACTCTCCATTTTCTTTCCCATAAGAGGCCAGTGTATTCTGGATAAATACATTTGGAAAATAGATTAATGATATTTTCTTCTGTTCTCATTGTATAGTTCCTCTTTCTTCACATTCTTTCATCCTTGAACTTATTTATCTTCCTGAAAAAAAATTCTTTCCTGGCTTTTTTGTCTCCCCCTTTTTTTTTTTTTTCCTCAATATATGTCTAAATTCACCTCCCCATTTCTATCTTCCAGTCTGCATTACATTCACTCTTGCTCAACTGCCATCTCTCTGACTTTTACAGCTATAAAAACTTAAGAAACTTCACAGCTGAAAGGCAGAATCTACATTAAAAAAGCGAGAAGATTGAGATCTTGTGATCCAGAAGTTACTCCCCTTCACTAAGTGCATTGAATAGAAGAATGTTGCTATTTGCCAAGAGCTCTCCTTCTCACGTGGCCTTCTGGCTGCACGACTTTTCAAGAACTTAAATTCTTTGGTGTATCTACAAGAAATATGTGGGGTTTTTTTTTTCCCGTTACACCAACACTTCTTTTTCCAGAATGAAAGGATGAGGGATGATATGCTAAGTGAAGTGCAATGCATGTGTTTTAGAATTATTTTTTTTTTAACCCCACCTTTTATTCCAAAGCAGCATTTAAAAAAAAAAAAAAAAAAAAAAGGAAAAAAAAGGACAAAAAGAATGTTGTGATTTATTCTGTTTGATTCAGGAAGAAGGCAAGGAAAAAAAATAGTTGCCCATTGTCGACACTATCAATCAGCCTTTGCACTCAGTGACTTCTGAGTCTGTATCATCAAGTCTTGGGAGTGCTCTTCAGTAACGGGCAAAATTGTCTCTACTCCTTCCAGTTCCACTGCAGCCCACCTTTGTACCACTGTGATAACCAACAAAAGCTATTGCAATTTTTCTATCTGAGCTGAAAACAGTAACTCACAGGAGCCATCTAGAAGAAAACTAACTAAAGCAGGGTTACATATTTTCATACTTTGTCTTGGGTACCATTTTTCAATTTCAAAAGCCAAACCATTATTTTTTAAAGTAAAAACTAGCATTCAGTCTCAACTGATGGCACCTTGTGGTACAGTTTTGATTATCTCTTTACATGAGATTTAACATGAGAACAAGTATCACAGGAAAGCTTTCAATAAGTCTTTCAGTGATGAGTCACCAAGAAAGTAAGATTATGCACTAGAGATACTAGGAATAAGAGGATATTAACTTTTAATGTTAGTACCCTCTTCAGTTTCCCCTTTATGCACCATGATGTATTTTCCTCTCTTCTCAAATAAGACTCAAAACTGTATTAAAAAAGTTGTTTGTTTCTTTTCCTACGTGATGTTGTGAAGTTTTTTGGTGGGTTTTTATGTTCGTTTGTTTTTTAATAAAAAGAGTTCGGACCTCTAGATACTGTTATGATATATATAAATAATAGTTATAGGAGTAGCCAAAATGAGAACAGAAAAAGTTAAGCACTAAACATGCTTCTTTGCAGTAAGTAATGGTAAATTTCATACCCTTTGCTACTCCACTTTCTCATACACAAGCTTATTGAGTTAAAAAGGGATAGAGAGAGAGCAAAGAATGAGTATGCCTTCAGAGATCTGGGATTAAGCAAAATCCTTTGCATGTGAATAAGGATCTTAGCTTTGTTTTTCTGTTTGGCTTCAAAATTTCTCAACAAGAGCAACTTGGCTTCCATATAGCTGTGTGCTCATTAATGCAGGATTATGGTCCCTTTGAAACTCTTTCTGACAGTTTTCACCTCCCAGTTATAAATGCAGAACTGGATACTTCTTAGTTATAGGATCAAAACTCAAACTAAAAGACAGGAGACTCAAAATGTATACAGCTATCATTTTCTCAAATGGGCTCAATGTACCAATTAAATGCTGCATTCTATCTTTATTTATACCACTTTCTGTTCAGAATGACCACACTGATTTCAACTAAATGAAACATAAGTAAGAAAAACTGCATTATGTCTCAAATTATTTTATGCTAGATTTCTGTTTCCCTAATACTGTATGTCAGATATCAAAAAAGTGAAGACTAATCTTTTCAGAAAAGATCATTTTACACAAAGCTTCTGATGATTATATTGTCAATGTGAAAGTTCTAAGTGTTTGCTTTTATAAGGAAGTAAAACATGCTATGAATATACTTCTTTTTAATTCCAAGGTGAATGTTTAAAAAATTCTTGAAAAAAGAGACAAGTGTATATGCCCTTCAAAGTAATTAGCAAGTTTCAACAGTGATTGGTACAAAACAATTATTGTCATTGATCAGCACTGAACAGATAATTTTAAACAAAGTCATTGTGTGCTCAGCAGATTACAGCTTGTTAACGGGCAAGTTCTAAATGACCTCTTAAGCTAGTCAAATCAATGATGCATATTCCTCATTAAGTAACATCAAAATGTAAGTGGTCTTATAAATAATGTTTATTTTAAGCACTAAAACAAATGGCAAAACCTTGATATATCAAAAGCCATCTGCTCATGGAAATACTTTTTTTTTTCATAGGATTACTATTGTTGCTGAAAATTTATGGCAACCTTAAATCTTTTAAGGGAGAGAATAATATTCTGACCTGGTACTCAAAAATGAAATTGATTAAAACAAGTTCTCTGATTTCATTTGAAAAGGTGAAGTTGATAGTCTTGGTTACAACTAAACACAATCCAGGGAGACAGAGATGTAGGCTGACTTCAAAACTATAAGCATATGCACGCCTTCTATGACACTTCAGTTGCCAAAATCAAAAATGCCTTTCTGTCTATAGTCAGAAAGTTATTTCAGTTTATAGTTTAGTGGCTATAAACTGAAATAAGTATTTTAATAGTACTATGAGGCCCAACTAAGCAGCTAAATAGATAAACACGGTTATTGTTACTTTTTCAGAACACGAAAGTAAATCATGAATCATAAAATCATGAATCAATCTCACAATGTCTGAATATGAGGTACAGTCGATTTTGGAAGCTTGAAGTCTGGTCACACATCTGTGTAGAAACTCAACAGGGCTTATTCATTATTGCACTGGACCTTGGTTAGTTTTTCAAAAAACAGATAACAGCAAGAGAAGCCACATTCAGTGTTTTGGAATGGTACCATCTTAAATCTACTCTGCAGATATGACTGCACAAGATTTAGATAGAGGAGAATCAGATTCTGACATTTGTAACTAAATAAAGATCTGCTCTATTGTTTTCTACTGATTTAAATTTCCATTAAAGAAAAGGACATGACTGATAAAATGGTACTTTGAAGATTTATATCACCTAATGATTCAACATTATATTTCCATTACAAATGAATGGGAACACATTCAATTTCTTTTAAAAATGAAAGACCAAATGCAAAACTCCATTTGACTGGAATACATAATTACTTCTGGAATTTGGTCTTCAAATGCCTTCTAAAAGTACACAGCCAACTTTTAAGAGCTGGCTTACATCTTGTGTTTTCCCACTGATTTCAGCTCCATGAGTATACAGCATTCCACTGTGGAATACTTTCAAACTAGCTAACTAAGGAATAAACTAAAACAAAAACAAACACATAAACAAAAAATGCACACAAAATAAAGTGTGTTTCTGAGGAATTAGATTGCTGTCAAACACTTTCACATGCACCAAATATACAATTCTAATTTGTGCCTTTGAGAGAACCAGCACTAAGTCAAAAACCTGATGGGAACACATCTCTTGAGTTTGAGTTATTCTGGAATCAGAAAGTCCACAAAATTAAAATCTATTCTGAAAATCTGCCTACTTTTCAGGAGTTTCCTTGGGTTACTCTCCATCCCCATCACATTCTTACATTTGCTATAATTCAAAAGGTAAGGTGCATTGCCTGAAAAGATATAGGCTTCTAAAATAAAGCTGGTTTATTCCATAAAAGAATTAAGTAAGATAAAAAGATTTCATAGAATGGATTGTGTTGGAAGGGATCCCAAAGATCATCCAGTTCTAAGCCCCCTGCCATGAGCAGAGACACCTCCCACTAGACCAGGTTGTTCAAAGTTTCATCCAGCCTGGCCTTGAACAGTTCCAGGGAGAAGGCATCCACAGCTTCTTTGGGCAATCTGTTCCAGTGCCTCAGAACCCTCATAGTGAAGAGTTTCTTCCTTATTTCTAATCTAAATCTACCCTCTTTAGGTTTAGAGCCATTACCCCTTGTCCTATCACTACATGCACTTGTAAAAAGCCCCTCTCCAAAATTTCCTTATCCCAAGAATTGTCTCATGTCTTTCCCGTGTTTTACATACATGTTCAGGGAAAAAATGCTAATTTCTTCTTAAATATATTTTGCGGTTTTCCCCATAGCAAACTTCATTTGCTGTATATTTATGAAAGTTCAAGGACTGTTTTTAATCTTCCTCATCTGGTAAAATTCACTCATAGTACCATCAATGAGATCAGAGCAGTTCCATTCCTAAGTTTAGGCAACGAAATTGTTCTGTGCTCTCTGAGTAACTCTTTGAGATTCAATACATCAAACGTCATGTAGTAACAAAAGAAAAAGCATGGCCACATCAACAAACAAAATCATTTCTATATTTATAAGAATACTTGCAGAGAGAATGTTTGGGGTTTTTATCAGTATCATATATGGTAAGGTACAATGAACATCTAAATGGGGCAATACACATGCAGGTACCTTAAACTCAGCTACAGTTTTCAAATACAACCCAGACTACCGCGTGTAACTTTAATTTTTAACTATGTACTATTTCCCGCTGTTGCCATCAGCATATCAATCAAGTGTATATTATACTGGTTTGCTCATTTTATTAAAAGCAAATTCGGAGCACAATTGACTTTTCATTTGTTTAACAAGTGAAGAAATATTTACCCTGACAGCCATTTCATTGTAGAAATTCATCTTCATAATAAAATATGCTGTCTGTGAATCAAGGAAAAAAAAAGATGGCATATATTTCAGTTACACAAAGACAGTGCTCCTATTTTTACATATAAAAGATAAGAATCTTTATACATAATACATAATAAGAGTTCTAGGCTAAGAGAGAATAAAATCAAACTTTGTATTGAAGAGATAGGCTTCCTAATACATAATGCAGGCCTAACCAGAAAAATCTATGGTAGTCAAACTAGGAGCTAATGGAGATATATGATCATAAAATGCTCTCCGCTGAGTTTGATAATCAATGGTGCTCTACTGAGAGTAGAATAACAAAGCAGAAATATTCACAAGTGCTGGTGACACGTAGTATTGTATGATTTATTCACTGGGGTTCTTTTAGCCAAAACTCACAGAAACATAAAAGGAATTCATATTTCAAGACGTCTGGTTTAATGAAAAATTCAAAGAAATGCTGTCTTCAGTCGAAATCGTTCAAGGATACGGATGCAGTGATGGAGCAAAATTGTGCCTTCCAACCATCTGTACTAAATGTTATGTACTTAGCTGCCTCCCGAGTAATCCTTGGGAATTTTGTTTCATTTAATATTCATTTTAACATCATAAAATCATAAATACAATGATACCATGTTACAGTGAATCCCCTGATATAGAAAACATTTCCTCAAGTCCTGGTTTCTTTCCAATAAAGTAGAATTCCTCTCATAGTGAACGAATCCCCTATTATACTAAGCAATCACTTGGCAGCATAGGTTATTTTAATGGATACATCACTTTAAACTAAGCTTTCACATCTGTTCCGCCCTCTAATTACAAATGCAAAATGAACATAATTCACAATTGTATCATAAAAAGTAAAATATAAGTACTTTGAATGCAAGAGTATGTCCTTTATTTAGCACAACATGCAGCTTTTATGTGTTTCTCATGTTTTAGACACAAATCAAAGGCAAAAGTACTTTCCCCTGATATAGTGATTTTCTCCCCCATGGCAAACAGGAATTCAGTATAAAAGGGTTTCACTGTAATTAGTGTTATTTGAATTGCCTAGTCTGATCCAAAGCAAATTGTCTGTGGAGAGCAGCAGGACTGGATTATTTATCAACAGTCTGGGCAATTAAGAAACAGTTGGCTGCAATATGTTATTTACAAATGAACACAATGATGCTACTTCATTTTAAATTCTCTTTCTTCATTACATTAAGCAAGGCATAATTCCTGCAGTTTAATTAAGGTGCATTTTAAATGCTCACTTTCATATCATACCAATCTACTAATAATGGAAAGAGTTGAAAAGATATTTCTTACAAGAAAGAAAAATGCAGGACTGCTAAATTTCAAAAAAAGTTTCAGGTATATGTGTAGAAGTATACGCACACACATATACATATATATATTTGAGGAACGCCCCACCCCAAAGGTATGAATTAGAATATATAGTGGACTCTATCTCCATAAATATTTTCTGAGTGATACTAACAGTAGGTAGCTAAGACTGGAAAGAAACAATGGTTGCCAGATCTAATTATATCCCTAAACTGTTTGCTTAAATTGGTACATTTTGCTTTGCAGCTCATCTTTTCTTTCTTTGGAAGGGAATGTAAGAGTGGCCACACCAACAAATAGATAAAGTACATTTTTAATGGAAATTCATAAGCTAAGGAATTATCATCAGATTTCTGCCCATCAATGATTAAACTAAACAATCTCACACCTTTTTGTTTATTCTTCTCACAGTTAAAGGCTGCAAATACTTAGGTCAGAATCCATCCCATTTCACTGAAGAACCTAAATTGAAGACCTAACATCATTATGTTCTTTATGTCATCAGTACTGACAGTGGGACCATTTTTGCTCTGAGCTGGGCAAAGTATTGAAGAGCTCTGCAATTGCATCTCTGTCTACTATTTACATAGATAGTCAATGGCAACTAGGGCCCTAACTTGCATACCTTACTTAGGTGTGAGAAATCCAAGCCTTACCCTACCATTACTTAATAATAACTCACAATAAAAAGGAAATTACACACTCCTGCTTTTACTCAATGTTGTTCTAAATTACAAGGGAGCCAAATGTAGAGTTGCACATGTAACTGTCTCACAGACTTATCAATGTACTAAAAGCCAAAGCCTGTGCCATCATCTAGGTTCTTTTGCAAATGGATTTGCCCTTTGTTTTCTAATCTTCATTAGGATAACATGTACTAGTTCTGCTGTTACAAGTGATGGAGAATGCTTTCATCCCTGTTCACAAAAGCATAGTCATAAGTTACTGCTTCAACCCAAGTCTATAGTCATGTACTTTCCTAGTAAAAAAATTGGAGTACTCTTGTTCAGAAGTCTCCTTTCTTATGCTCATGAGGAATTTCCTGCATTTCAGCTTGTGCCCATTGCAATGCCTCTCATTCTTTCACTGGATGCCAATTCCTAGTTGACATCAAATGGTTGACATTCTGGGAAGAATTACTCTGCCATCTCACCCACGTGCACCACGCTCACTTCTGAACCATGAAGTCTTTGTATCTGTATCTGATGTTAATACACAGATCTCCCTACCAGTTTACTTTAAGTCTATGAATTCAAAAAATATTTGAAGTCTTTTGTGGTACTTTTTCTGTTCAAAAACATATTTGATGATCACCTATTTGATCATCACCTACCATATTTGATGTCACTCCTTCCAAAGTGAGCTGAAAGTAAGGCCGTCATGCATGCCGACTTCATATGACAATGATAAGTTAAAATTCTCTTTTCTTTAACAAGTGATTTCTTGACTTCGAGGGATATTGTGAAAAGAAACAGTGGCTTACAGTTTGATTCATATTCTGGTGTTTGCCTGGTTTTAGAATTCATACCTTCTTACAGGTCATGCAAGATTTTCAGAATACAGTACAACTACTGTAACTAAGTTATTAAGGAAACTATAGGAGCACAGTTCTTAATTTTAACTTGAGGTTAATACAAGGAAACAAAGCTTTACATCATAGTATCTATATTTAGAAAGGCACATAATTTTAGTTATATAGACACTATCAGTAGATTTTTTTAAACTTAGAGTAACAAATGTACTGATGCACATATGGACAGCTGATCTGATGAGCCTCAGCCTTTGTTATTTTCCGCATCGGTACCACTCACATTTCACAATTTTGAATATAATCATTAAAATGATTTATTATCAAGTAATCATGGGTATTTTGTGCATATGCTTTGCCTTGTTTGCTGGCAGCAGATAACAATCCAATCATTATCAGAGGACAAATATTAAAGAGACCATTTTTTTTTTTATTTAAAGGACTATGATGTCAAATGTGTCGTGTTTCATAATCAGGAATCATTACAACAGTAATTAGCAAAAGTTCAGTGCAAACATAAACTTAAAAGTTGTGTTAAGCTGCTGAGAAGGTTTTATTTCTTTTTAAAATATTCCGAATTCGGACACTGATTGAGTAAAGATAGTACAGTAATGAATATAGGGAATGAAATTGAACTTTATATTTAGCCCACTCCAAAACTTATAATATTGAATATAGTGTTCTAAACGGAGATAAAGGTGCCTTTTTATCTGCTACTTGTATGGCTTTCAGACTAGATTTCAATGAAGTTAGCCTATTTAGTGCCCTCTAATCAAAGAGATGGCAAGCACAAGATTGTATTTGAGGGAAGAAGATGGTTTTCTATCTTGACTGCTGTACAATTCATAAGCTTGCAGACGAGATTCTTTTTCTCTAGAGCCTTGACCAATACTGGAAACTACTAGAATTCAGAAAATGGATGAATCAATGATCTGATTTAGAAAGTATTTGTTAAGTATGAGTTTGCACAATTTTTTGTCCCACATTATTCCACAGACTTCAGATTTGGCAAGGGCTTGTGAATTATGTCTGTTTGAAAGAACTGCATAGGAACTAGGATTTATTGGTTTAAGTATTTTTATTTTTAACTTCAGAAATGTATTTAAAGAATGGAAAGCTGAGGGAGTTTTATGATGCTAAGTATCTCAGCTTGGTTATTACAGAAAATCTGTTCTGATTTGAAACTCTTTATTTTAAAATGTAATTATCAGAATGTTTTTTAAGAAGAGAGAGCAAACAAAGAAAGAAGACATGAGGTAAAAGACCTCCAGTTTCATAGATGTATAGAACAATTGAGGTTGTTATCTCTGAGTGGAATGTCCTGTATTTCAGTTGTACCCTCTGCCTCTCACCCTGTTCCTGAGCAACAGTTCCAAGTGCTTTTGCAAGTTGGTTATTTGCGAAGAATTATCTTGCCCACTCACCTGTAGGGTACCATTTAGAACAGTGCAGTGGACAGTAGGCATAGTAATGACATGTTCATTTTGTATCTTATCTGGGCACCACCATTTTAACAAACTTTATACATAAAAATAAAAATAAGTCTCTGAAGTGATATCTTTCTGTTCAAAATAGGAAACTGATTACTATCAACAGAGAAATTAGCATTTGAACATGGGGTAGCCAAAAGATAGCACCTTACACTTTGGGGGAATTGGAAAGTATGCACAGTGGCCACCATCAGATCCTTGTCCTGCTTAAGTCCTCCTAAAGACCTAATGGTTAGATGCCAAAACAGACATGGTTCTTATTCTTATCTTGAAAAACACAGAAACACATAAATAACCTTGTTTCTTAAGTGGGATTCACCACTCTATTATGTTTTAAATGTGAAAAAAATGTAGAACTGGAGGGGATACAGTGAGATGCCTTCACATAAAACATTGCCTGAAGAATATCTACACCACCTGTGATAAACATTTATCTAATCTGCTCTTTAAAGTCTGCATTAGAGGGGGTTCCACAACATCTTTTGGCAGTAAATGTTGATGTTTCACATGAAGTTGTTTTATTCCCTTTTCCTAGTGGCTGCATGGATCTTTTCTTTTCATTAATAAATTTTAACATATATTAGCATTTTCGTGGTGTTTCTTCTACTACAGAAGCCTTTCTAGATTAAACAAGTCTTCCCCAAACTAGGGAACAATATTAAACTGAAGTCTCACTTTTTTTAAAACAGAACCCAATCCAGCCATGCAGCTCTCTGCCCTGGATTGAAAGACTAGTGTTTTAGAAGATAGACTGAAAACCACAGCCTGAAAGGATGATTCTTAATTTATTAGTTAAGCCAGGTAAATTGAAAGAGATTAAAACCTTTAATTAGATTACTGATAGGCTTGGGGAAAAAATAGACAAGATTTCAGGCATAAAAATCCTGCCACTTTAAAACATAGCTTACTAGGAGGTATGGACTTTAGCCTGTAATACATTAATACATGAGTCGTTATGGCTCTTCTTTTTATTTTTTTTTGGTCCTTTGTTTTTTCATGACTTGTCTGTTTTGACTGAAACACAACAATTTAGCAAAGTTAATCAAGAATAAATTACTAAAAAGCTCAAAACTATTGTAAAATATTAACATAAGTTGATAAATTAGTGAAGTAAACTGTATATTAAACATTTGGTTTATGTTAAAGGCAAATTAGTTTCTGAATCTCCTAAACCTCTTAACAGAAGTTTTAGCTTGTGTGCTATCATACACTTTTGCTATCTTTAAGTCCATCAAGGGAATTAGACTGACTGTGATATGCTGTGTGCCTTAAGGCAAAACCTTAAAATACTTCAGGGTTCATTAAGTAAGAAATTTAAAGCACCAAAACATAGAACAGCAATGTGTAGACACATTGGCTTATTTTCTTTTCAGAATTAAAAGTTTTGTCAGGTAAAAAAAAGCATCTTGAGAAGCTCCAATTCTGCAATTAGCATCATGTCTGCATGAGCAGATCTCATTGCTGGGTTGGGGAATAATACTCTAGAGCTGTAAGCACTTAAGCACAGACTTAACCATTATGAGTAGGCTTACTGAAATTAATGGTGCTTTTCAACATAGTAAAGTTAAGTATGTGTCTGTGTATAAAGGATCAGTTTCAGCTTTTTGATTTTTTTTTGAGATGAGTGAATAGATTACTTTAAATGTATTCTATAAATGAACAAAACAAAATTTTTAAAATTAGTTTTCTACCTCCACCATTTTTCTGAAGTGTCTTCTGCTTCGATAACCTCTCCACCACTTCTGTATAGAAATCACCATTTTGATCAGATATCTGAAATGACATATATAATAAATTATTATTTTGAGACTTTACAATATAACTTATTTTTTATTTTTCTTAATATTAAAAATAAATTATAAATAAATAATGATAAATTAATGATAAGTTAATAATAAATTATTTCTTAATAATAAAAATAATGTATAGTGTATATATATCCATAATTATTCCAAACAGATGGACACTGCAAACACACTTTGCACATATACGTGTATGCATATATACATATGCATACACATAAACACTTAAAAACACACATATTCATATGGAAACACATACTTTGCTTTTGGAAAAAATGGTTTACTGCAAATTTACCTGTATGCAATTTCATTTATAATTACAAAAGTTTAACGAAAAAAAAACCTTACAAATGTAATTTGCATGACAGATCACAGTATTTTCATTATTTTAACCAACATATCTGACCAGTTCAGGATTTTTTAAGTCCCACATATCTGGAGTTTTTAGACTACCTATTCCCTTTTATTACATTACACTTAGCTTAATTGTAAGTAAATCTTTACTCTGTTCTTATTATAGATACTTGATTATGCTACTAAATATTCTGTAATTGATGTTTCATATCAATTTTGCAGAAAACAATGCAATCATTACTTTGGGACTGCGTAAAAGTTATATAGGGGAGCATTCATATCACCTATTTTGTGGTCATCAAATTTAGATGCCTTGCAGCTAGTCATTCATCAGGGGCAATCTTTTCCAACAGGTAGTTCAAAGGACCTAAATTAGATTGTAATTAAGAGCACTGACAACTGGCTGTGTTGAGCCTGCGCTGCTAAATCAGACACCACATCCACCTTTGGAAAGATGACACTGAGCAGAACCACTCTGTACACAGCTGTGGAGAAAATTCTCTTCTACACTTAGCTAATGCAGTTCTTCTTACATGCTCATTATAATTACATTGGTCTTCTTACATTGGTCATGCCAAATACAAATGTGGGTTTTGAAGAGCATTTTCCTACAGAATAGACTGGCAAAGACACTTGGGTTTTCACCTTATTCTGCTGCATGCTGTGAAAACAGAAGGGCACTAACCAATCCTCTGTCTTTGTAGGGCTTTTTACACTGATGGCATAGCTGGTGTTCCTTGGAGGGCTAAAATACTGTGCTTGTTTGCCTGCTGAAAATTTATATGTGATGGCTGGAACCTTTGACAACAATTTGAACAAGTAGGAAATGGTTTACCAGTGACTTTTTTAACAAGTGCACATGATGGCTGTAGCTTATCTTTTATGAGGGTGTCATGGTTTAAACCCAGCAAACAACTATACACCATGTAGCTGCTCGTTCGTTCCCCCCTCCTTCCAGTGGGATAGGTACATGTGGTACAGCATGTATTTAATTCTATTTAAAAGCAGAATAACATTTTGGCTTTTTTTTTTTTTTGTGATTACAGTTTAAAGTAGGCCTAATACACCACCTCAGATAGGCTCGGACTCTGCATCCTCGAAACCAGCTCTGGATTTTGACAGCAGCTTTATACTCTATTTTTCTGTATTCATCTGCAGACCTGAAAGTACAAAAAGTAGTAATATTTGTCAGCATGGCAATCTAGTACCAAAACAGAAAATTTCTTCTAAGTATGTGTTGCTGTTGTAATTTGTGATCTTTTTCACCAGGTTTTTAACCTTTTAATTCTACATAGTTAAATAACAGTGCAGAACACTATAATCACATTAGTTACCTATTATGAAAATAATAAAGATTATCACAATTTGTAGATGATGTAAGGTTTCTGGGAGTGTACTTCTCATTCCCATACAATACTAAATATCCATGTCAGCGTGTCATGAACTTCTGTTGTGGCTGAACTATATGGTTAATGCTTTAATGATAATTAGGCCTGGATTATAATAAAAATCCCACACCTATTTAGAAAAATTGGATATCTACATGTATATTAGATAAATTAACTGTATTTAATATTATCATGATAAAAATAAATTGAATTAATAAAAAACAATATTAAGGGCGAGAACTGGTTCAAATACATTGTTTTATAACCAATAACAAACTATTTTGTTCACCACCTGAACAGTAATAGCATCAATAATTACCTGAAAGTAATAGCATCAAATGTCTGTAGCTTTTTTTAAGAAATACAAGCTGAAGTTACAGGGTGAAAGTAGAGGAAAGATGCCTTTTAGCTTGTTTTTTAAAAGGGGATTTAAAGAGGAAAAATATGAAAAAGAAGAAGAGAGGACTGAAGGAAAGAGAGATACAAATGTAAGTTAAAACTGTTATGAGATGATTAAAAAATGAATGCATCGAAAAGAAACTAGATGTTAAAATTTCCAAACTTTAAAAGGATTGGAATGTCAGGACACAAAATCTTAGTGTGGCTCAAAAGGAAGTCAGGAATTGGAAACAAACAGTGTTAGTAATTCAGATAGATACCAAAGGGCTGACCATGGGGATCTTTTACATGGAATGATAGCACTCAATGCAACAGCTGCTTGAGTCTTGACAGGACTTTTCACAATGGGAATTCAAAGACATGGATTTTGGAGATAATGTAGAAATTAAACTGGCAGCATATTGGCAAGTGCTGCAGACAGGCAAGGAGGGAACAAAAGGAAACAAAAGAACTAGAGAAGATGCTAGGGTTGCAGCATTGATTAATACAGTTACTAGATGAACCAATGAAAAAGGGAGAATACAGAGAAAGATAAAGAATTTGGTTTTAAATTACGTGAAAGGAAAGATTATCTGGAAAGTGGTACTGGTGAGGTAGCTGAAGATGCAAGACTCAGATCACCTCTAGATTTTATTTACTTCTTTGTTTGCTTCAAAATGTCAGTAACTGTCAAGTTTTTGAATTTAAAATGATATTCTAAATTTTCATGGATTTTTTGCTATCCCATTTTTGTTAGGAACATATTTACAAATAGTTTGATTTGTTATACCTGCTACAAAAGAACAATTAGTTTACTATTGGGTAGAGTTTTAAGTAGCTGATATTAGTTACCTCTCCTAATAAAGTGTTGTGTCAACATTAATTGCCTCAGTAAACACCAACAAGATTAATTTTGCTATGATAAATTAGGATTATCCTCACTATATTTCTTGAAAAACACACCACAATTTTACTAGCAGAGATCAAGAAGCATTAGCTCCCTTCTTTTAATACCATCTGGTGCAGCATGTGCTCTCAAATCACATTAAAAGGGCACAGATTTTCATGGTCATCTGACATGCATCAGACCTGGAGAACATGTCCAGTACCTGGAAACCATAGCAAACAGTCTTTTTTACCTAAGACCACAAAATAAGTCAATATCAAAGTTGGCATTTCTGTTAAAGAGCTTCCTTGTTCTTTTCCTGTGCAGCTTCCTAGGCTTCATAGCAAGTAGCTACCTCCAGAACACTTATACCTAGAGATAAATTATTTTGATTAAATGAGTGTAAGCTTTGGACAGGTAGCCATGATTACAGCCTGGAAATTAGGAGGATGTGGGACTGGCTGTGTAAGAGGTGACAGCTCCAAAAGCTGCCCTACCCACCTGGCAATGGCAACAATCTGCTTCTGAAAGTGCAGAAGCCTTTTCCTCTAGTATTCTAGTATTCTGTTATGGTTTTTAGTTGGCATTCTGTCTCGCCTGGTCAAGTCAGTTTAGAAATCCTTGTGAAGTTTCTTGAAGGAGACCAACAACAGGCTTGGTTTTCTACGGTATAGTTCTATAAACACTTTCAACTCACCTTGGTCAGTAAAAGTGGTTTGAGGTATAAGTTGCTCAAGCTGGTATTTGCCCTTCTGGTCAGAATGCATAGTTGTCATACTGTTTGAATTAAGCTTTTAGAGTCACAGATACTTCACAAAGACTTTACTGAATGTTAAAAAGGTATCCTCAAGGTCAGCATCCAACATATAGACTTTACAGTAAATAAAAGTAGTTTCTTGAATGCGTGAGTGATACAATTGTTTAACACTTAAGAGAATGTGCTAACAGATCCTTTGTATTCTAATGCTTGTGCTGATGGGGTATTTCTCAAGGTGCAGGCTTATGGTCTTTTGGCATTATGCCACCATGGGGCAAGGCCCGCTGTACGAAGGTGCTTTCCTAAAAAGTCAGTTTAGGAGACCTCATACCTCTGATAAAAACAGCGTTCTGCATAAAGCATGACACGATATTAAGATCAGAACATTAAGATCAGAACATTAAGATCAGGTAAACCTGTTCAACCACAACCAACTGGCAAGATATTAGAGTCATTAACCTGCCCCAAGTTTTAATGGAGCAGGTGTAGAGTCCTAAAATAGCAAATGCATTTTGAAAGATAAATAAAGTTTTCTAATTTGAGGATTTACTTTAAGGCACTTCAATTATTATGTTCCTCCTGCAGTAATAATTGCTTGCAACAGTCCTTAGTTTTCACCAGGGCTGCTTTCAGTAGAGCTGCTCTGGAGGGCATGTGTGTACTAGATGTTCTACAGAATCTTGCTTCTAGGTCTTCATAGATAGGTGAAGAAGGGAATACTTTTATCTTAAAATGTGTTTGACAAACATGGAACTAAATCCTTCATATCTTACCCTTAGAGGCATTTGCAAACAGAGCAACTCAGACACAAAAAAGGTAAATATTTGGTAATCTATATTATTCTGTACCTTCTGATGCTTCAGATCAACTCAGTTGTTTTGGGGAATCTGGTGAATAGTGACATCACTGCTGAATACTGACATCATGAAGTAACTGCTTTTTTATAGTATCATGTATTTTTCTCTGAATGCCCTCAAACTACTTCTGAATGACGAGTGACTGCAGAGATTGCACTGACTCATGTGCTCACAGCATCTCAGATTTGGCCATTTTAACAGGTCTATTACATTATGGAGATGAGGCATAATTCTGAAAGGGAAATTAAAGCCATTGTCTGATTTATAACATAAACGTTTCAAAAATACTTCAAAGACCCTACAGATTTGACACACAGTATTTCCCAAACCTTATTTGTTAAGTTTAAAAGTTAAATAAGGATCTACCAAAATCTCTAAACAAGATATTCTGTTATATTTCAGGATTTTCCTGACAGCTGTGTTGAGGTAGTCCAAGATTTTCACCCTAAAGAACAGATTACTGATCAGCCCTTCAGTTGCTGAGCTGGGCTGTTTGAAGCCTCTCATTTAAATTCTCAGCTGAAAATCTGAATTTCAAGAAACTGCTGGATTATAGCCTATTCTTAAAAGAGAAACAATTCATTTTTTGAAAGCTCGGCCAAAAAACAAATCCCCAAACATCAAGCATGCTGCCCTCCAATTGATTTCCATGTCTGGCTCAGCCTGCTCTTTCTAACCTGAAAGATGTGAAATAGAAGCATAGTCTCCTGTAACTGAAGCTCGTTTAGCAAACTGCTGCGTGCACAGCCACGAGAGTACAGGCTAAAATTCAGAGAAGGAAGAGGAAAAAACAACATTTTATATGCTGGCACAACTTGAACTTGATGTAACTTTTAGCAATGTTCAAAAGCTTTGTGATTCATGCTAATGATGTTGTAACTGGATTCTAAGACAAATCATTCATTAATTAGTAAAGGGAAAAAAAAAAACCCTGCAACTATGTTAAATGGGATTTTTCTCCCCTCTTTCAGTATTAACATTACATGCACAGCACCAGCAACAACACAGTTAAATCAAAGGGTTTCAGGACAAATCTATGCAATACTAAAATAGATCTTGAAACATTTTGTTTCCTAAAATCTGATCTGGTAAAAGTTGGCCACCGCCATCTCCACAGTCAGAAAACTCAGCAGCAAAAACTGGTCGACTCGATCAAGAGAAGGGTAACAGGTGATCTGATCTTTCTACATGGGATGTATTTGATCTTTAGGAGAATAAACATCTCCTTAATTTAGTAAAAGAAGACAAAACATGTCCCAGGTACTAGAAACCCAAGCCGTATACCTAATTTAGAAACAAAGCTTAATTTTAAACAGTGAGAATAAGAAAAACATTAACTCGGTCAGAAGCTGGAATTTCTCTGTCAAATAGATAGATAGATAGATAGATGCGGTGCCCTTCAACAGGATAAACTAAACGTCCAGTAAAAGTTAAAGGCTGGAGCCCCGACGGGCAGGGCTCCCGGCTTGCGTGCCGCTCCCGGGGGCTCAGCAGGAGTAAGCCGGAGCGGTGCGAGAGAGAGGGCGGCCGACTCCCGGGGCGGGATGGGGCTGAGTTTTGGGAGTTTCCAGAAGCTCCTTTTCCCTCGGAATTCGCAGGGTACGGAGGCAGGAAGGGGCACTATTTCGTAGTGCGCAAATGGACCCCTTAAAGAAACTGTCCTGCTGTCATGTCCTCTCCTTTCCTCTCCTCATAGTTATCACTGTGGCAGCACACTCTAGGGCGAGGGGACGGGCGCTCTCGGGAGGGCTTTGAAACCCGGTCCATTTCCAGCGGGAGTGCCGCCGCCGCGTTGCCGGGGAGGCC